CTTCCGGTAAACCACCAGGATCCCCCATCACCCCCTATAATATGCACCGCCAAAAACAAAACCCCCTACCTCACCGCATCCGGCCTCAGATGGTGATAAATCTAGGGACACCTCTGGCTAGGTATGTCAACTCTGCTGGCATGTCACAAACTAAATTCTCTGACCTATGAAGGGACTTAACTTCCTACAGGGTATGTGTCCCTTCTAAATATTTTAATTTCCTTCTGCAACCTCCAGTTCCCCAGCATATGAAGTCTTCCTCCACATTTTTTCTAGGCCTGCTAATCTCTTCTGCTTTCTGCTTTGCCTTTATACATTTCTTAGCACTTTTTTTCTCATCAGTTTCCTCTACCCTTCTTCCCTATTTCAAGCTACTGTATTAATATTTATGCATGCTGCGGTCTGGTTCTTAAAGGAGAACTATGGGGTCAGTGTTTTTCCCCATAGTTCTCCTTGGGGTAACGGGAGGACACAAACTAGCGTCCTCCCGTTACCCTAAGCTCAGTATACCGCGAGCTACAGCTCGCGGTATACTGAGACGCCGCACCTGGAGCGGATCCCGACTTAGATGACGGGATCCGCCCAGCTGCGTGAGTGACAGCTGGCTCTGCCTATCTAGAGGCAGAGCCAGCTGTACCCGCCCCCTCCCCCGTCCGTTCCGCCAGTCAGCGCTGGCAGATCGGAGCGGGGAGAGGGGAATCCAGCCCCTCTCCCTGTCACGGCAGAGAGCCGTGACAGGATCGAGAGGTGAGGGAACCCGGTATGTGTTCGCTCACCTCCCGATCTACTGAGCCGACCTGTGACAGTCTCATTGTCACAGGTCGGCTTAGAACTATGAGGTGAGTGGAAATCACTCATGTCATAGTTCTCCTTTAATATAAGATTGTCATTTCTTCATTTGCTCCTATTCCCAAAGTATATCTTGATACTGTACATTCCATAATATTTGTATCATTCCTTTTTTTTTCTCATCCACTTGTGTCAAATTCAGTGTTTCAGATCTGTATGTTGCAGTCGGTCTGATTAGAGCTTTATAAAGTTTTATATTCAAAGTCATGCATACTATATTTGATGATTATATTGAGTGCTTTACAAAGTAAGAAATTTGTCTGCTTTCATTCTAGCTTAAATTGTACTTCTTACTTCGTTGTTCTCTGACCTATTAATTGCAATAACTACCTTTCCAAAGTTTTAAATGTCTCATTATCATGAAGGGTATGTTACCTTTCCAAGTTGCCCAGTTTATTAATATATTTAGGTTTCTGTTCCTTTATTTCAAGTATCATCTGGACTCATTATTAAAGGAAACTTTCAGTTGTAATAAAATGTCATAAACAAATGCTATGGTACTCAATATTCCACACTACAACTGTTAGTATCCCATAGTAAATTCTTACAATGGCTGTTTCCTAATACATGTAAAACATGAATTATTTGTTAAGTGTGATTTAATAGGTGACTAAAATGTCTTTGTCTTTTAGCATGCTGCACTATTCATGCAAAGAATGTGGAAGCTCAGGTTATTAACCAAGAAGAGAAAAAAGAAGTGCCAGGTTAGCATGGATATAAATGACATGAAACCAACATTTGAAACTCTATGTATTTTTTCCAAATAAAATGTTACAATAAGCATTCAGGGAAAAGTAGCAGGTTATATTAGTGAGGCACCGATACCATTATCGGTATCAGTTCCGAAACGGAGCATTTGCTTGTACTGGTAATCGTGCAAATGCTCCGATACCCAAAACTGATACCGGCGCTTTCATTTATGCAAAGTAAGCGACTGCCTTAGGTTCCACGTTTGCTGGGGACCTCATGGTAGCCTTCTTAAGAACCATGCGGCGCCTCTGTTTGCAGTCCTTCTGCCGGCCTGCACATCTCCCGCTCCTGAGACCCTCTGCACATCTCCCCCTCCTGAGACCCTCCGTAAATCTCCCCCCTCCTGAGACCTCCACATGTCTCCCCCTCCCGAGAGCCTCTATTAGAAATATTGCCTGCTGTTTCGGGTCAGGAAAAAATGGTATCAGTGCATCCCTACTATTAAGGCTATTAAAATATAACAAAAACCAAGAATAGTAAACGTAATACATTGCAGCTTACCAAGCTTGCAGTTATTTCTCTTTTTCATGCCTTACCCCTATATTGTCATCTGGTGATCCTGAGTAACACGCTTCCTGTCCTAGAGTGACAACGCTTACTGTAATGTATCTTTGGAGGAGCAGCATGGTCACCCTAGGAAATTAAGTGTATTAGGACTATAAAACACCTTCCAATGTCCTTATCTCTATAACATAGGAGGAACATGTTCCGTAGCTCACAGTTTTCAACTGGGCAGGTATGTTAAGACTGCATGAGATAACACTGCAGTGTATAAAGGAACTTACAAGCTCACATGATTTCTGGCAGGATCAACAGATTATTTATTTGCACTTATTGAACTGATATATTAACATTTTCCATTGGTATGTTTGCATGACCAGAAGGGAGCAAATGAGAGAAGTTTATTGTTAGGGTTTACTTTATATACTCTGTAAGTTATCCTGTTACTTTGTTCTAAATTAGGAAGGGGCAAAATCACATTAAAGTGATTCCCTCACAACAAGTAAAAATCATGACTTTGAAATGCAGATAATATAAAATCATTTGTTGCCACCTAGTCTGTCAGTATCCACACTGTTTTTGTAATCTAATTAAGCATAAGAGACCTCATTCATTAAAAAAAAGTATATCAGCAGTGGCAAGGCGCAGAATTTTATTGAGTTCCTGACACTATGTAACTTTCTTTTGAGGTGTCACAAAAAAAATCTGAACAGAAAGCAACAAAGAAAAATTTCCCTCCACTTACTTGGCAACAACAGCACAAAAGTATACATGGATTTTTATCTTCCATCATTTTAAAATGTTGCACACAGGATAACCCATCACCTACATGTGACAGAAACAAAGCCAACCTTAAAATCCCAAAACATCACAAAAAAAAAAAGAAAAAAAGTGTTTTTCATTTTCTCTTACAAGTAATATTTTAATGCAATATTTATTTCACTGATTCACCTTTTTATTCGCTGTTATCTGTTTAAAAGAATAATGACCCTTACACACTGAAACAAAATGTTTTACAGCTGAAAGTGTTGTTATCTACCCTGAAAAGGATGAATTTGAAAAACTTTCAGAAAAGCAAACAAAGACAGAAAAGAGGTAAACCCTGTTAGAACAGAAAGTGTGTGTGTGTGTGTGTGTGTGTGTGTGTGTGTGTGTGTGT